CCCTTGCAACGTATCATTGTCCATGGCAAATTTCTGCAGAACAACAGCACCTTGTCCAGCTACGCTGTGGTCGCTAATATATTGATCGCCCAACGCATTCGTGTTGAGTGCAATCGAATTAGTCGAGTGTATCTTCGGGAATGTCGTAGAAAATTTCGGTAAATGGAGTAGAGGTATTGTAGGTTGCACCTGCCAGAGAGTAGAGAGGTTTAACAACTCATCTTTACATTAACGTTACCCACATCATCACAATCTTGACAAATGTCGTTTTCAGGGGAACGATAATGACAAAATAATTTACTTCAGGTACGTTTCGCAACTTATCCTCATCCGCATAGCTTCCGGTTAAAGAAGTTATTCGGATGCATGCTGCACTCCGCGGCTTGTCACCGCACGTTGTCAATCATGCAGATATACCAGACGCTGCGTGTGTCCCATGCTAGGACCTGCGCGCTTACGTGTTGACTACGGTGGTGTCCAAACGTATGAACCCGCATATGCAGCGGACATTGCAACATAATCCTGATTTGTAAGACGTGATCCCAGGGCATGATTGTTGCTGAAAGTGTAGACCCATGACCAGCATCTCGGAACAACCAATGACATCTCCTACACCAAGTCCCACCCTTAACACGCAATCGGCAACGCTTCCAACATCCGATCCCACTGTTGAAACGCAACCAAGATACCCAGGGAACCCGCTGGGTCTCCAGGGAATGTTGGTCTGCTCGGGAATGATGGGCTCATTGAAATGTTGGCCCACAATGTTGGTTTGACAATGGTTTTACCACACTTATCCGATAATGTAAAAATTATAGGTGAAGAACTGCGAATATTTCGACCAAGATATATCCAGCGTTAGGCGAAACCCAATGAATGGCTTTCGCACTAAAATTCAACCAATCACGAGGGTTACGCAAGAAACTAAATTGAATACAATCATTCATCTCAAATGGATGATTCCAAGCAATAACGAATGCTCTTACAGTACTAGTACTTCGAAGTAGGTTACTCCGTAGAATTTACCGTTGGAGATGATGCTCTACCGGTAGAGCACGGCGTTTTTAATTTAGGTATCCGGACGTCCGGATATATTCACCCATATCCGGGCATCTACTTTGAAGCCAAAATGCCCGCCAAACCCCAACCTGTCGAACGAGGATCGGAGCACACAGCACTTGACATGCGTATCTTCGAATAAATCCGACGGTTACTACGATACTACTTTGTGTTTGCATGCCCATTTTGACCAATACATGAATTGTATTTTGGTCATTCATCTTTTTAGCCAATCAAAAATGCTTTACCGATATTTTACGCAAAAAGTGCAGGTTTCTTGCAATAATGGGCTCGCTCGGACATATTTTGTCGGAGAAAATTTAAAAATATGGCTCCTTATAACGTTATTGTCAAGTCGGTTCGTAATTGGAGTCGCCAGTAGAATCGAATAGACTTGGCAAATCGATTTGAGAATGAACTAGCCAATCAAAATCCAATCTAACCCCCCCTATACAAAATTTCTGAATAGTTCAGCTAATCAATACGTTTTGTAAAAAGAAACCTTTGCAGATTGAACTCACAGAACTATATTGAATACAAGATATATTGTCAAGTTCATTCAAAAATAGTTTCACTTTTGGACTGAACAGTCCAAATTTCTGTGAGAAGGACAATATACAAAATCAAGTCAATTTCGCAGAGCTGGCATATATTCCTAACAACTCCGACATGACTTTTTTTCCAATCAATGTGGTTTGGAATAGTTAATCGATATCGAAAGGTTTTTCTTGAATTATTCAGGGTGGTCCTCGAATTGGAATAAGTATCGCCTGAACCCATATAATTTATTGCTCAATTGATAAGATAAATTTGTGTAAAAATTCTACACCTTGGAAAAAGATTAAGCACTGCCCGGGTTCGAACCCCTGGCCCCCTTCCTCTATCGCTTTGATGCCGTTGCTCTAACCGTTGAGCCATGTACCAAGCCGTTGTTTGATTCTTTTAACATCCAACGCAATTAAAAGCATATGGTGAACACGATCGACCAAGTGTTCAATTCACAGATCAACCGGAGTACCAAATAACAAAGTATAGAAATGAATGATCATTCCGAATTCTCTACCTTTGAAGTATACCCATTGTCAAGCCAAAAACCTATTTTGACTAAGATACCGTTCTTCAAGGTCAACAAAATGAAACCTATCAATCATTTCCAATCGGAGGTAATAAGTAGTATTTCCCCTACCTCTCGCGACAACGTTAGCTGTGACATTGGTCGTCGCGTCGAACAATGCACATGACATCAGCAATGGGAGGTCGTTGAAGGACTTTTCACCAAAAGAGCACAGAAAACTCGTAAGCGCGCAGGTCCTAGCATGGGACACACGCAGCGTCTGGTATATCTGCAT